GATCTACGGCCTTTTAGGAGAGTGACTGTTCACTGGGGAAAAGGAAATCAGACTTTTCGAGGATTACTGAATACTGGCTCTGACCTGACACTAATTCCAGGAGACTCAAAACGTCACTGTGGCCCACCAGTCAGAGTGAGGGTAGATGGAGGTCAAGTTATTAATGGAGTCTTAGCTCATGTCTGTCTCAGTGGGTCCCTGAACCTATCCTGTAGTGATTCCCCAGTTCAGGAATGCATGATTGGAATAGATTTACTCAGCAACTGGCAGAACCCCCACATTGGATCCCTGACAAATGGAGTAAGAGCTAGTATGGTAGGAAAAGCCAAGTGGAAGCCATTAGAACTGCCCCTACCTAGGAAAATAGTAAATCAAAAGCAATACCGCATACCTGGAGGGATTGTAGAGATTACTGCCACCATCAAGGACTTGAAGGATGCAGGGGTGGTGATCCCCACCACATCCGCATTCAACTTGCCTATTTGGCCTGTGCAAAAAACAGATGATCTTGGAGAATGACAGTGGATTATCGAAAACTTAACAAGGTGGTGACTCCAATTGGAGCTGCTGTTCCAGATGTAGTTTCATTGCTTGAGCAAATTAATACATCTCCTGGTACCTGGTATGCAGCTATTGATCTGGCTAGTGCCTTTTTCTCCATATCTGTTTCAAACGACCACCAGAAGCAGTTCACCTTCAGCTGGCAAGGCCAGCAATACACCTTCAGTTGCCTACCTCAGAGCTACATTAACTCTCCAGCCCTATGTCATAATTTAGTCCGCAGGGACCTTGAACGCCTTTCCCTTCTACAAGACATCACACTGGTCCATTACATTGATGACATTATGCTGATTGGACCTAGTAAGGAAGAAGTGTCAATGACCCTGGACTTATTGGTAAAACATTTGTGTGCTAGAGGGTGGGAATTTAATCCCACAAAAATTCAGGTGTCTTCCACCTCAGTGAAATTTCTAGGGGTCCAATGGTGTGGGGCATGTTGAGATATTCCTTCTAAAGTGAAGGATAAATTATTGCATCTGGCTCCTTCCACAACTAAAAAGGAGGCACAATGCCTAGTGGGCCTCTTTGGATTTTGGAGGCAACATATTCCTCATTTGGGTGTGCTACTCTGGCCTATTTATCAAGTGACTCAAAAAGCTGCTAGATTTGAGTGGGGCCCAGAACAAGAGAAGGCTTTGCAACAGATTCAGGCTGCCGTGCAAGCCGCTCTGCCCCTTGGGCCATATGATCCAGTTGATACAGTGGTGCTTTAAGTGTCAGTGGCAGACAGAGATGTTGTTTGGAGTATTTGGCAGACCTTTGTTAGTGAATCACAATGCAGATCCTTAGGATTTTGGGGCGAAGCCCTACCATCCTCTGCAGATAACTACTCTCCTTTTAAGAAACAGCTTTTGGCTTGTTACTGGGACTTAGTAGACTGAACACTTACCATGGGCCACCAAGTCACCATGCGACCCAAGCTGCCTTTTATGAACTGGGTGTTGTCTGACCCACAGAGTCATAAAGTTGGACATGCGCAGCAGCACTCCATCATTAAACGAAAGTGGTATATACAAGATTGGGCCTGAGCAGGACCTGAAGGCACAAGTTGCATGAAGAAGTGGCCCAAATGTCCAAGCTCTCCACTCCTGTCACATTACCTTTCATCTCCAAGTCTGCACCTATGGCCTCATGGAGAGTTCCTTATAATCAGTTGACTAAGAGAAAACTCGTGTTTTGTTTACAGATGGTTGTGTGCAATACACAGGCACCACTCAAAAGTGGGCAGCGGCAGTGCTACAGCCCCTTTCTGGGACCTCCCTGAAGGACAGTGAAGGGAAATCCTCCCAATGGGCAGAACTTCACACAATGCACCTGGTTGTTCATTTTGCTTGGAAGGAGAAATGACCAGATGTGCAATTATATACTGATTCATGGGCTGTAGCCAATGATTTGGCTGGATGGTCAGGGACTTGGAAGGAACATGATTAGAAAATTGGAAACAAGGAGGTATTGGGAAGAGGTATGTGGACTGACCTCTCTGAATGGGCAAAGATATGAAGATATTTGTGCCTCATGTGAATGGTCACCAAAGGGTGACCTCAGCAGAGGAGGATTTTAACAATCAAGTGGATAGGATGATGCGTTCTGTGGAAACCACTCATCCTCTTTCCCCAGCTACTCCCATCATTGCTCAGTGGGCTCATGAACAAAGTGGCCATGGTGGCAGAGATGGAGGTCATGCATGGGCTCAGCAACATGGACTTCCTCTAACCAAGGCCAACTTGGCTATAGCCACTGCTGAGTACTCAACTCTGAGTGCTCAGAGACTAACACTGAGTGCCCGATATGGCACCATCCCTTGAGGTGATCAGCCAGCAACCTGGTGCCAAGTTGATTACATCGGACCACTTCCATCATGGGAAGTGGTTTGCTCTTACTGGACTAGACATTTACTCTGGATATGGATTTGCCTTCCCTGCATGCAATGCTTCTGCCAAAACTACCATCTGTGGACTTACAGAATGCCTCATCCACCATCATGGTATCCCACACAGCATTGCCTCAGATCAAGGGACTCACTTCACAGCAAATGAAGTGCAGAAATAGGCCCATGCTTGTGGAATTCACTGGTCTTACCATGTTCCCCACCATCCTGAAGCAGCTGGCTTGATAGAATGATGGAATGGCCTTCTAAAGATATAATTAAGGAGTCAGCTAGATGGCACTACTTTCAGGGTTGGGGCAATGTTCTCCAAGAGGCTGTATATGCTCTAAACCAGTGTCCACTATATGGTGCTGTTTCTCCCATAGCCATGATTCATGGGTCCAGGAATCAAGGGGTGGAAATGGGAGTGGCACCATTACCCCATTGCATTGGGCAAATCTGCTGCAAAAGACCTCTGTAAAGTGTTGAAAAGCAAAGATGTCACCTTGAAGACTAAGGTGTACTGACCCAAGCCGTGGTGTTTTCAATTGCCTCATATGCATGCAAAAGCTGGACAATGAATAAGACCCAAAAAAGAATTGATGCTTTTGAATTGTGGTGTTGGTGAAGAATATTGAATATACCATGGACTGCTAAAAGAACAAACAAATATGTCTTGGAAGAAGTACAACCAGAATGATCCTTAGATGCAAGGATGGTGAGACTACATCTCATATACTTTGGACATGTTATTAGGAGCAACCAGTCCCTGAAGAAAGACGTCACGCTTGGTAAAGTAGAGGGTCAGGGAAAAAGAAGAAGATCCTTAACGAGATGGAATGACACAGCAGCTGCAACACCAGGCTCAAGCATAACAGCAGTTGTGAGGATAGCACAGGACCGGGTAGTGTTTTGTTCTGTTGTACTATATAGGGTCACTCTGAGTCGTAACTGACTTGATGGCACCTAACAACAACAAAAACATGATGTTGTGATCAACCCCATGGTGGGATCTGCTGTGAGTAGCCAAATCGGTTGAAAGGGAGTTTCCTTGGGCATGTGGCCTGCATCCATTACAAGTGGATATTCTGGCAAGGCTTGTGGCTTTTGCTCACTCTGGATTCTGCAGCTGGCTCCTGTTCACCGGACCTCCGGTTCTTGGAACTTGAGAGCTAGCAGCTTATCCGCAGTCTTGCCTGCCAATCTTGGGATCCGTCGATCTTCGCGGCCTGTGAGCAACAGCCCTGCTCTGCAACCTGCCTATCTTGGGTTCACCAGCCACTGCAGCTACATGAATCAGAAGCCGCCAGCCTGACCCATGGACTTGGGACACTGCATCTCTAAAACTGCGTGAGCCATTTTCTCGATATAAATCTGTATATATATTTATATGCTTTACTGGTTTTGTGGCTCTAGAGAACCCAGCCTAAGACAAATCAACCAGCCACTCTCTGGAAACCCTATGGGGCTGTTCTATTCTGTCCTGTAGGGTCACCATGAATCAGAATCAGCTCAACGGCAATAGGTTTGCTTTTTCACTCTTTACAGAAGCATTTTTATCAGTTACAGCTAAAAATCAGTATGTACAATTAATGAGGCATGGTTTTTTTTTAATCCCCGAGAAGCTATGATTAAATAAATTGTTCATTTTAAAACTGATGGTATCTTGATGGAGACTTGAACGCAGTGACACAAACAGACACACATACACCAATGTTCACTGCAGCACTACCTACAATAGCTGAAAGGTGGAAACAACCTAAATATCCATCAACAGATGAGTGGTCCAAAAAAAAAAAATGTGGTACATACAGACAATGAAATACTACTCAGCCATAGAGAAATGAAGTCCTGATACGTGCTATAAAATGGATGAACCTTGAAAACATGCTGAGTAAAATAAGTCAACCAAAAAAGGACAAATATTGTATGATTTCACTTATATGAAATATTTAGAATAGGCAAACGTATAGAGTCCAGTTTTATTAGTGGTTACCAGGGGCAGGACGGAAGGAGAAAGGGGGAATCATTGTTTAGGAAGCAGTGAGTTTCTGTTTATGGTGATGGAAATTTTGGCAATGATCACTGGTGATGGTGGCACAAGATGATTAATGTAATTTATATCACCAAATTTGTACATGTTGAAAAATGTTGAATTGGCATATGTTGTATTATATATATTTTTACACAATAAAGAAAAACAAAAAGAAAAAATCGATGGTATCTTAAAATTAAGGAAATACTGTGATGATAATAACCATTAGCCATTAGGACTCAATTCTTCAGCAGTCATGGTCCCTCAGGTGTCTGGGTGTCAGAGACAGATACTTTAGAGGTTTCATAGTTATCATGGTATGGTGGACACCATACCACGTGTCAGGCAATGTCCCTATCCACACCAGACTCAAGAGAAGGGAACTCTTACAATGATTTTACAAGGTTCATATCTCATCCAGTCGCCTCCAAATATGTCCCTCCTATCACCACAGCAACTCATGTGACAAAGAGGGCAACAGAAGAGTTTTCTGATGCTTCCTAAGTCCAGGAACTCGGGTCATCCCTGGATGTCACCTGAAATACACCATTACCACAATAATCAGGGCCACGTTGCAGTATTCCACTTCACGTATCAAAAAGGCCTAACTTACCTGGAATTTAAACACTAGATGGGATGCAGTTCCTCTATCCTTACTCACAGGGGTCTCCAGCTAACCCCAAGCAAATATGCCTCCAAATCTGCTCTAAAGCAGTTGTCTGGGAACAATAGAAAGCCATTATGCAGATGGAAGCCATCCAAAACTATTCAGTCATCTTGAGGAGATATATCAGATATCTAGCAGAGAAATGGGAGATGAACTGTTTTCTTGAGTTCAAACTACTCCCTTCAGTGCTTTGATATTGGACCACCGAGTAATTAACATCAGGCCTCCCCAGCAATCTTCATTTGTTAGTATTACTCACTAATGACAGAAGAGAACCATGAGTCTGGCACATGGTTCAACTTAATCACTAAAGCAAACCTGGGTATACCTATTATTATCCCCATTATAATAATGAGTAACAGGGGCTTCTAGAGAGTGACTGACAAGGTCAAAGACACACAGCCAGGGAGTGTTGGGATATGAGTGAGGGTTTAAACCACCAAACTAGCCTACTTTCTGCTACTAACTACTTTTACACAGAGTTACACTTACTGCATACATTAAAAGAAGCCAAGTTGACAGAGCAAGTCATAATTTTAAATGTCTCATTTATTCAATAAACACTTAAGTGATTCTGTACATTGAAGGACAACTGCAAAATGTACTTTACAAATAAATATTTAATAGTAATGTCAGTGTAATTATAATAGTTATATCTCTAGAGTGCCTTGGTCAAAATTATTTCCATCATCTCCAGATGCAGTTTGAAAATAATTGTACATTGCACATTTCTTTTCAAGAAGAGTTTAAACCATCCCATACTATTTTAAAATTTAACTTCAAACATTTCCATATCTAAGTTAACAGACTTTTATGTTCAATGTAAACAAAACCTCTTAAGTTTTCACTTTCATTTTCTTCTGACACCTTCTGCAAAAGAATGCTTGTATGCCCATTTTTCAGATAAAGGAGGCTAAAACAGTACAATTGGAAAAGAGAAAGAAGGCATGCAGAGAGAGCTAGTAAACCAGCTAAGGACAGAACAACTCCTCACATCTCAGAGAGGCGGACGAGGCGTCTATAAACCAGCAAATGCTGCCTGCCTGTATCTGGCTTAGCCAGGTACATACCTTTGCAAGTGACTGAATTTAAGTCCAGTGTGGCACTTTCAGAAAATGGCATCAAAGGCTGGACTATAAATCTTTCTTATTTTCAAGTCACTGGACATTTAAGAGCTAAGATTATTGATGGGCTCTTTCCCTTCTCTTTTTTTTCCTCGTAACAGATGTATGATTCATAGATTGTCCTTTAGTGGTCTCCAGTTTCATCTTATTACTTTTTCTTTGCTTCTGCTTCCTGACAGCTCTGAAAAACAAGGTGCTAAATTATTTTATAGAATAAGCACAGTGAATTCTGTTAATTATGCTGAAGTTTAATTAACTAGCTAACCAAATGAGAAATAACCAAATAAGGAGGGAAAGAATTTACTGTATTATGAGCATAAATCCACAGAACCCTAATCATAATAACAAGGAGATAGCCAGAAGCCTGACCAAGCAAAATGTCTGAGAAAAGAAATTTCTTTGAAAGATAGTTACTACACATTTAGAACAATCTATTCAGGACAAACACATCACAGAGGTAAATAAATAGTCAAGCCAATGAGCTAGAGTTTTTTTTTTTTTTTGGTACATCCATACTGCTCAACTCAGCACTTCAATCTTCAAGTCCCTGAATTACATTTTTTAGAAAAAGGACCAATGCATTTGGCAGTTAGCAAAATGGGAAAAATGACAACATTGGACGGGGCCCATTTTATAAGTCCTACAGTCCTTGAGCTAATTTTCCTTTCCTCAGTAGATCTGAAAGTCCTGAAAAGCGCCACACAGAATGTCCACATTTTGTGGTCCCTGTCTTCTTCAAGGCCAGCTTCAGACTGAAAAAGCTGGAATTTGCCCTCTAAAAATGCTAAACCACACCAGAGAAAACAGATCTTTTGCTTCTGGTGTTCTCTGAACTAAGTTACGGGCAATCTGTGGTTGAGAAAGATTACTGGTTCGTTCATTCACTTTCTCCATGCTAGACGAATCATGCCATTTATCGTATCTTGAACCAAAGGAACAGGTTGGGCCTAACAGCTCTGACAAGCCTGGAAATTTCCCCTCATCAGTCAGCAATAATAGGAGCCCTGGTGGTGAAGTGGTTAAAGCACTCGGCTGTTAAACAAAAGGTGAGCAGTTCGAACCCACCAGCCTGCTCCACACTAGAAAGATATGGCAGTCTGCTTCCGTAAAGATTACAGCCTTGGAAACCCTATGGAAACCCTATGGGACAGTTCTACTCTGTCCTATAGGGTCGGTATGAGTTGGAACTGACTCAATGGCCGTGGGTTTGGTTTTTGGTAGCCAGCAGTATCAATAGTTAGCTTCACCTCTCGTAAACCGCCACTAGCCCTGGGGAAAAGCTTATTCTTGACCTCTCAGGACCAAAACCTGGGAAAGGTTTCACAAACAATATATAATCCCCTAATAAACCACACTTAAGCCTCACTTTTTGTTCACTCAGCATAAGTGTCAAGAATACAAAAATGAATGGGCATAATCTTTGACTTCAAACCATCCCATACTGTTTTAATATTGAACTTCAAACATTTCCATATCTAAGTTAACAGACTTTTATGTTCAATGTAAACAAAACCTCTTGAGTTTTCACTTTCATTTTCTTCTGACACCTTCTGCAAAAGAATGAAGTATGCCCATTTTTCAGATAAAGGAGGCTAAAACAGTACAATTGGAAAAGAGAAAGAAGGCATGCAGAGAGATTAGGCAGACATCACCTTCCTATCCCTTCCTTCGACCTTTTTTAGGAAAAGAAATTAAGGCTATGAAAGTCTATGATCATCCAGTAAGGAAGTGGTACAACTAGACTGATTCCAGAAACTGTGCTTTTAATCATTTTGTATACTATACTATAAATTACTCAGGTATGCAAAATGCTAAGCATACTATAATCACTCAGTAAGTATTAGCTATTATTAGTAGTTCCACACAACTCAGTGTTATTCAGAGTTTTGCTTGACAAGTTTGCAATGTTCCATATTTAGACTTTGCACTATGGATTGGAATATTCTATCAGTTCAAAGTGAAAACGGTCATCTTTATATTGTTTGTGCATGCTATATAAATCTCCTCTTTCCTCCAGCCAATTTTTAAATGTAAGATAATTTCCTGATAAGTGATGATTTAGCAAGTTTAATGAAATATAGTATAATCTCGAAAGCAAAGTCAATAAAGCTATGCATGCCTGTAAAAATAAATTTAAACAAATTTCTCTTCTGCTCATCCACGAATAAGCAGGACTAAAACTCAACACTCTACCAGATT